AAAATACTTCCTTAAATCTTCTTTGTTTAATCTTTTCATCTCCTTGTCCACAGCCTTTTTTAATTGCTTAGGAGTTCAAGCCCGAGCCTTTTCAATATTATGTCTAATGGTGTTAAAAAGTAATTCAACTGGGTTAAACTGTGGAGAATGGGAAGGCAAATAAGTTGGAATGCTGTTCTTAGGGGTTAATTGCTCCTCAATGGTTGGTAAACCTAATTCTTTCCTTTTCTTAGGAGCTCGGTGAATGCTGGCATTATCCAATAAAAGATGGTTTTCTTTTTCAAAATGAGCATTAGCATTAACCAAGAAATCATGAAAAACCTTAGTGTTTACTCTTTTTTCAACTAGTTCATAATGAATTATCCCTTGTTTTTCTTTACTTGCAGCCCAGATGATTAAAGAGTAACTTCCGCCCTTACTACCTGGGCTACGAGAAATAGCCTTTTTACCTCGGGGAGCATAACCATATCGAGGGGCTTCATTTAAATGGAAATTACATTCATCGATGGCCGAGAATTGATTTAAAGATAAATGTTTAATAGTTTCTTGAAATTGCCTAATCTGACTTAAATCCTGTTCTTGATAACGAGGAGTAATTTTTTTACGAGTTCTATTTCTTTTGATGAGAGTTCGAGAAATGGTTTGTTGGCTAACTAAAACTCCTGTTTTTTTATAAATAAAATTAGCTATTTCTTGTTGAGTTAAAGTGTTATACTTAGAACAATAGGAAGTTAAAGAGAGTAAAAGAGTTAAAGTTCCATCAGTAATTTTTCTTTTACAGCCTCTTTTTAGTTTTTCCTTGTTAGAAGGTTTAAGTTTCCTTCTAATTGTCTTCTCATTTACTCCATAAATGTCTGCTAACTCTTGCTGGGTAAATCTTTGGAGGAGTTGAGTGAGGATTTGGGAAGTGGGAAGTTTGGTTTTTCGGCAAGAGCAATTGGACTTTACCATTTTATTTTCGGAGAGGTTTTTTTCTTTTTAAAGAGTAAGCAATTATCCCCAACACTAATAAAACTATCACCACTCCTAATATCCATAGTCAGTAAGTAGAGTTGGGTTTTTTGGGGCCTCCATTTCCCCCACTTTGCCGTTGATTTTCTAATCTTCTTAATTCTTCTCTTTTTTCTTGTAATTCTCTTTCTTGCTCGGCTGTTCTATTAATAATGGCTTCTAATTCAGCAATCCGAACCCGTAATTGTTGGATTTGTCTCTCTCTCTCTCTCTGCTGTGCTATCATTGTCATCCCTTAAAGAACTCGGCAACTCTCCATACTTGTAATTGTATTCCTTTTTAAGTTTGCTTAACCTTTCTTCCATTTGTTTCCTATCGTATTCACTAAAACCAAGATGGTTTTCTGGAAACTGCTTTAATGCTCTTAGGCCTTTTAAAATTGTATTTATCTGTTCTTCTAACTCTTTTTTATCCCTGGTATTTTGTTCATTCCCTTGATTATCCTTTTGGAGTGATAAACACTCTTCTCGATTATGTTTCCAATTAGGGTCATGGTCTCCACATTCATTAGAAAGAATATTTATTGTGTTTTTGCATTCTTGACAATATTTGGCTATTTCATCTCTACTATAACTGTCTCTACAACAAATTTCAGTATGATAATTACCGTTCTCTAATGAGGCTTTTTTCTTAACTTCCCAATTTTTCAGTTCGTTGTATTTCTGTTGACAATTTTTACAATTATTAAAATTAAATGACATGTTTTTAAACTTTATTTAACTTTGTATTTTTCTATTAAATGTTGTCGAAACTCTTGTTTAGCAGAATAACTCATCTCAACGCCTATCATTTTTTTAAAAAACGTTTTGACTATAAGTTCCTCAATAAAATTAGGACGGGAGCAAATATTACAGTTAGTTATTTGGTTTACATTGCTACTTCTTCAACCATACAAAATACTTCTGTAATAGAAAAGTAAGTTCGGAACTCCTTTAAATGCATTTAAATTTTCCCTCATTAGTTTTCTATATTTACTGAATGTTAGACAACACTTTTTTATTGTTTTTCTTTTACCTCCTTTAAATAGAGAATTTATGAAGTCTTGATGAACCATGTCTTATTAATTTATTTATAGTGTTTTTGAAAGACACTAGGTTAAAATTAATGACAATAGAACCTCCAATTAAACAAAATTTTTCCTAATATAACCTACAAGGTTATTTCTTTTTTTCAAGTTTTTCACAGTGGTCAAAAATTGTTGCCTTTCTTCTTGGTAAAATTTTCGGAGACAAAAATTACAGATTTTAAGATTTTGGTCAGTTTCTTCCTCACATCAGTAATTCCAATTATTTTTTTTAGAATAATCTCTTTGTGGAACTACAAATTTTATTCAGAATTGTTTTTGACATTTAAAACAATTAGCAGAAATAGGGTCAGGGAAACCATTTCTATCTTCCCTTTTTAGTTCTTTATTCTTTGGCATATTTATTTTCTAAAAATTGGACATTTTATTTAGGTAGAGTTATA